CCCCTATAGCATAAATGGCAAAAATGCAGAGGTTTGAAAAAGTTATTTTTTAATATGGAAAATAAATTACTTTGGATTACTAATATTTTCTTTTACAGTAGTAGATGATACAAAGTATTTACTTGTATAGTTGATTTGCTTTAAACATAGTAAATAATAATTGATAAATTAAGTTTTTGATAGGTGCGGCGTATATACCGGGTTTACCCTACTATTTATAATAAAAGTCTTAAAAAGGTCTTAAAAAGAGTCCTTTTTTTGTCAATTTTTTATGTCATACTTTTAAATAACTATAAACTTCAGAAAAATATTAATTAGTTAGTTTTAGTACATCAATTTGGCACACTTTGAAGACATTTTGTATGTCAAAAAATAAATAAACATATGTATATAGGAATATATATATGTAATATATGTATAAACGTCAGAAGTACTGTACGTTTCTTATTCACTAAAAGGATCAAGCGAATAAATTACTATAAAAATAAAAAAAATATTTTATTAATATAAAGGACATATAACTATTACAAAATAAAAACATTTTGGAATTCTATCTTTTATACACACATAAAAACTATAATATTAATCTGAAAAATAGAAACGATCAATAATGACCACTCGGCATTTCTATTAAAATATAATTTATTAGTATTGAAATATTGTTTATCGTCCTTTTTAATTTAAAATTTTCAAGCGTGTTTGACAATAACAGTTTCCAGAAGATGGAAGGTAACTTTACCTTCAAATTATACTAGAGGGCACTTTCAACTTTGGCGCACCCACATCAACCTGACGCGGCATTATTAATCCGAAATGTTTCGTAGGGGGCGGGGGAGGACGAGAGCAGACGTAACTAACCGGGATTTTCTCTTTTCCTCCTTTGTCTCTTTGTATTTGCCGACCAGGCGGAAAGTGATATGAGACACACCGACATATTACTTCAACTTGGGCGCTGATTAGCAACGCGATGAAGAGTGCATATGGAGAAATGTAGGAAATGCGACGAAATGAAGAGATAAAAGCTTAGGTAAGACCGGGATTTACGACGAAGATAAGCGGTCAAATTGTACGCGATGAGATATGAAAACGCTGATTTCGGAGGAAATTAATTTTCTTCGAATTGGAATACTTTTGCATTTGAAAATTAATTTTCCTTCGAATCATTCGTATGACGACGTAGATGAAATAAAATTATTTCCTAAGCCGAATTGCAATATTGAACGTCGGAAAGTCTCTTTCGCAAAAGTACCTTCTGAATAAAAATAAATCTGCGTACTAGATTTACATTCTTCTTATATTTCTTACACGTGTACTTCAAATAAATACGATAACTTTACATTTCCTTTGTATTCCTTGTATTTATGTTGTACAAATAGGTACATTATTAAATCTATTATATTCAAATAAAATTATATTCAATTTGATTTATTTTTAATCATTTCAGTGTTCTTATTCAATTATTATTGTTTATATAAATTAACTAAAACAATGGAATTGAACAATTTAACTTGAAAAAAATGTATTAAATTAATTTTATTATTTACTAAATACTTAATACAGAAGTTGTGTACTTTAAAATTAAAAAATTCGAATCCCAGAAATGGATTGATTTACATTTTAACATTTTTGATATATACGGAAATTAAAAATGATATT